AAAGTCGTTGTTCTGGAAATCAGCATACACATATATACACCCAGCAAAACAAAAAAGGCCGTGCCCTAAATGTTTTACATTTTGTAGCCAAATATTTATTTGGGGCACCAAGCTGGGTACCTCCCTTTCCGTTGTAATATTTTTATATTTCACAGCGTTCCCTGAGCTGTCTAATGCTAAAATTGATTCCGATCTGTACTTGGAAATACTTCTCCATACCAATATTTAAGGGGAAGGTTTTACAGTGGAAATTGCTTAATTACCACATGGACCCATAAGGTTAAACTTCGACTTGTCAGAAAACATTTCAGATTTCCACTTAGTTTGGGTTCGGTTAAGTTTATTTTTAAACCAATTGTAAAGCTTTTAATTTTTCTGGTATCAAGTGGATTTTTAAAAGGTTTTCTTCCAGTCTTTCCCATCTCGTTAAGCCAATTTTAAACTGTTCGAGCTAAAATATCATTGCTAAATGATTTCTGCAATCGGTTTTATAAACTTGTTCTTAAGTTAGTCGATCTTCTCCTAAGTTAATGTTACTTTTTCTTCAGTTGTACGATATTTTTCCAAAACACGTCGCACTGTTTCTGATAACTTTTTGAGACAAACAAGGCTGCGTTTGCTTAGGTAAAAGTTTGTTTTATTTCAAATTTATGKKAATTCGGGCGAAACCCAGACGTTTTGCATGGAATTTGTAAAACACACCTTATGAGACTTTATTTGTTTCGCTGGGTATATATCMATTTGTATGTCTAATTATAGTACCTACTTCAGATATTGCACAGAATGCTATTCCAACGAGTTATATAGCRCATTATATAACACTAATGTAAGATTTTTTATAAAAATATAAAAATGAAAATCAGTTAGCAGCTTTGATGAAATTGAATTTCACTTATTTCCGTACAAGTAAARTATAAAATATCAATCAGGACCTAGAGTCGCATTTCGCTTTGATAGATTAGTTTCCAAACACCTTCTTTAAGATTTAAATTAAGCAAAATAGCTAATGACATAAAGTTAATATCAATTCATTTGGTTTTCGTATCTCTATTAAGTACCGAACTTACTGAATACCCCTATTGATTGCTTCAAGATATCTGCATATTTGAAGATGCGTGTATGTATTGGCACAATAATTTTGTGCGATGCGCCGCAGTTTAAAGCTTTAATACGTTATTTATGTGTCACAAAAAGAAGAAAAGGCTTTGGATGCCACACGGCATTGTGGATTATTTATCATTTCACACGAGCTGTGCTGCACCAAAACGCTTGCATCGCGTACCAAAGTACGAAACAGCATATTTTTCGTATTAGCACTACAGTTGTTGTATTGCCAGCGGCGAAAAATTGCCAATAAGTCCAGCGCATTGCTTATGAGCYCGGTCCGACTGCAGAGGCCGTGTAGAAGTGAGAGCGCATTCAAGCCCCTCAGCCAGCGTCATCATCCGCGCCACATTATTTAAACTGCATTTATGCACAAAAGCCAAGCGTTTGTCAATTCGATTGGTAACCAAATTTATGACCACACGCACATAAATTAGGACTGGTCTGATCGCGCAGCAAAGGTGTAAATGCGTGAATATGCCAATTCAAATTGGGAGTGCAAAAAGCGTGGTCACTGGTGCCAGTATTCCAAAGAAGTTAATAAAGTAGATCCGTCTCGCTATTGATTATCCGAAAATTATCCAGGAAGTGTGCACATGCAAACACAAGCTCGCTAAGTTCTTCTGAAACAAAGGCGGACCGTCCGATTTATGCGGTGGCAAGTGTTAATTGGAATCAATTTGATAATCTGTAAATAAAGAATGAAATTGATTGGCATTATATTGAGCTCATGCATTTTTCAAGTATTTAGCACACCCTGTGAACAGAAGTTAGGCAGTTTCTAGCAGAGTCTACCTCTACCGTGATTTCTCTAATTTTTGTTTGTTGTTCCAAGTTGAGTTTTGAACTAGTGTTTAATATTATATCCCTTTTCTATAGGCCCTTATCCGCTATATTATAAAGGCGAAAAACTACGCTCTGGGGGGGCATCATGTGTTCGCATACATACAGGTTATGTAGCCTTGCCTGCGCTCCTTGCCTTTGTTGTGATTTGAGTGTAAGCGGATGAAAGCGTAATTCAAATCGAATTAAATTAAATGCCAATTTATTGACCAAACGCTTCCACCGCTAACCAAAATTCACCAAAATCATGAAATGTGGAATGCTATAAATAATAAGGGAATCGCAAAATTTATCGAAAAGCACTGTAATGATAAATGCACACTGCCTAATACTTAATACTCATGAAGAAACTGTAAAAACGTAGTTACGGTAATATAATTTGGTGCGTTGAAAGTAGTTTTGGCCGAAGATCGCACTGCCCTGATATATCTACATCCAACTCTAACAAATTCAAAAAGGAAAGTCTTGCCAATGTTTGTCATATTAAGTAATATTCTTTGAACCATAGTTTCATAGTTAATTTTTTGTTGAAAGTTAATGGAACTCAAATATCTTCGGGTTCCACAATTCTCACGCTCACTAAACAACTGACAATTTCATGGTTTCAATGTACGTTTTGTTTCGAGTAATCGACATCTTATCCCTGTATGCCAATATGTGAATGTTTCTTCTCTAAACTTACAAGCAGAGAGGTGTGTGTAAATTGGGAAATAATCAACTTCCTTGCCTCTCAAGATGATCGACTCGCTGGAAACCAATTGATGATTGGAGTGGTAATTTTAACACCTTCACTACCGCAAAATTATGCCGAAATGCTAACGATCATAAAACGGACCGCGGGCGCAACACAAACAAATCAATCAAATATTGTAAGGAACACACTCGTATTGAGCATAAGGTTTGTTGAAGACTGTGCAGTTGCATTCTGATTATTGTAATCGGTGGCGATTATTAAAGTAAAATCATTCTCACATTTATATTACAGAGAACAGTTGACTAAACTAACCCATAAGATTAACACCTCACACAAAAACGAAGTGCCGCGGGAACTGCAATAWACGTCATGCAAATATAAAGCATTAACCGCCAATCGATTTCATATCACGATCTGCTTACCTTTTTGAACTAAACGTGGTCGGACAGCTGATATTAACATACATATGTATATAGAAGTAATCATATGAACACCTTACGCCAACAATCCAACACCATCGCCAATCGTTCGTCCATCAGCGATCTTAGCTCAGCGATCAGTACATACAGCCGCTGGACAAACCGCAATTGCTGGCGACTGTAGCTTCCCTTAATTTGTTCGTCTTACTTACATACAATAATATTTATAAATACATATATTTCCAGGCGGCATAAGTGCTAAACAGTTCGATGAAGCATAAGTAGTATAGCGCTGAAGAGTTCTCAAGTTTTGATTGAATGATTGAGTAGTATGGAAATGCTAAGCCATAATACCATACATGCTTATGCAGCTACGGGTTGGAAGATGACGGTGTCATTTATCGAGTTGTTATATTTAATTTTCACTCACTTCACTGTAAYAGTTTGCCAAATTAGCGGGACGTTTGGGCAGTCGATACTCATAGAGATTAAACCTGTACCACATGCATCCAAGCAAATTAGTGAAACCATATTACCGCTGCCAATCACATATTCAGCTTCGATATCGTTTTTAATGTATTCTCCACTTTGTTCCATTATTTGCAATTTGTGCATGATGCGAAGTTTCGGCGCAATCTTCCACCTGCAGTGGAAAGCTAAATTGAAATGTAACTAGTTTTCTCAATGTGGATTGGTGCGGACCGACCAAAGGCAACGCTCCTACAAAGTATATCTTCAAATAATACCTTAAAACATTTTATGAMCTATTCGTTACCCAAACCTCTAATGTGTGCTGTTTCCAAATAAAACTATGTAATAATTTTAAAAATTTATTTTTCATTATTTTATTTCCGTTGTGAATTTAACTTGTTCCTATTTGCGTTTTTACACGTTTTAAATAATTTAATATAAAATATGAATTTGAAAACATTGTTGTGCTTATTATTAATTAATATGTATGGTATATATTTAACATACAATTCACCGATAAATAACATCTTTTTACTAAATATGTCAAATAATATACATAGGAAAGACTTGGCATGCATTGCTTTTTCCTAAAGTACATTTGTCTTTCGAAATTGTATAAAACTAGTATTTACGTTGTTAAGTAATTTAATTAAAGTCTATGTTAATCAAATTAATAATATATTTTACAATATGAATACACATATACACACCCATGCATTAAATCGAAGCAAATATTTCGTTTCCCCCCGCTTTCACAGTGATAATCGCATGTCTCTTCAACTCAATTATATATGTATAGTACAGACATATACAGCAATACTTTGGGTCTACATAAGGAATTTATTGCTAGTAGAACTAAAGCTACGCCTTAATACACTTCGATTCGGCTATTTACAGATTACTTTAGCAACAAATTGCATTTTCTTGTTGTACTAGTAGTATTCTTAAGGGAAAAGTCGGCGAAGAGCAAAATTAAATTTACAAACCTTTTATTGAAGAAAATCAAAATGCCGTTTCAGTAAAAATATTAAACTTTATTTCAAAATAAAATATATTCATGTTGTATAATAAATAAAAAGTGTTTCAGCTTAATTCTAACTTGCACTGGTTTTGATCTTTGTAAAATAAAATAAAAAATTTGCTAATTAAATTCTGCTTTTAATAAAAATAAGGTTTTCTGGACATTTATTTGTAAATTGTAAAATTTTTAATTTCACTTGTTTAAAAGTATTTATTAAAGCACAAAATTGCAACAGTTTCGATTAGAAGACACTAGGAATTTTTTTAAATTAATTTGGTATTTGAAGCATGTGTAGAACAAACAAGTTGCACGAGATAAATAAAAGCATTTTGTAAATTAAGAAGTACTTTTTAAATGTAAACTGAAATTAAGTAAGATTCAGTGCCATTCCTTTTCACAAATATTGATATATCATTTTCGGTTTCGCCTAAGTATATGAAAATTGTTGCATTTTACCTTTTAAGATAACATTCAAAGTTTCGTTTAACGAGACTCTGAAGCTTCTATTATTTTTTTCAAAGAGTATGTCACTTGAAGCCACCATATCTTTCCCGCAAATTAGGTTCAGAGCAAAATACTACTTTTCCGGTARTGATTATTATCAGCCTCATTTTAGGAGATTCCTTAGCTAAGGCGTTACCATCGTTCGAGAGCGTCTACAAAAACTTTAATTCATCCTCAAACGGTTGGACTATTACTATTTTGTAATTGTTGCAGCTTCAAAGCAAGTCAATACTTTTATTTTAATTTTTGGCTTCAAGTTTCATAGTTTTGGAAAACCATTTGTATAACTTCAATAAATAAATTACTATAAATATTAGTTATTAAAATATTTACAAATGCATGACAATGATTAAATTTCTAAAAAATTGCGCTTTAACAACTCTAAAGAGTAAAAATTTATGCTAATTTTACATGTCTTCACATCAGCTTCTAGTTTTTTTTTGTATTTTTTTTTTTTTTTGAGTTTTTGTTTAGGTCAATTTTTAACGTAAATTTTTGAAATCTATTTAAGCTGCTTTCCTTTGAACCGCAATTACAACTACACTATATTTACTTGACGTCGACAACGAGAGGAACTTCGCTGATATCGATTAGGTTTGGTGAAGATGTCAGCTGCGTTTGCARTTGTTGCTGCCCCTGGAGGTCGTGAATGTGCATATGCGGCTGGATGGGTGGATGCGCAGTTGAGGGACAGCGTTGGGTCTGCTGCTGGTATTGTTGACTGATGCTAGTGGCGGATGAATTGACAGTAGACATTGGGGCAGAAGCGCTCGTGGATACCGTCGAAGTTGTCGGTGATGTCACTGCCGATATGGATGTGGCTGGCATGATCGGACCTCCGTCAATATCGTCACTGCAGTCGTGGCTATTGTGACCGTTCGCAAGATTGTGACTGCTGCCAGCGCTATTGGCGAGCAACATTCGGTGGTGTTGTTGAAGGCATTGATTGGCATTCACCGCCGCCGCTGCCATCATCATAGCTGCGTCACAGTAATTGGACAACATTGTTGTTGGATTAACAACACCAGCYGTTGGTGCTCCCTGTGCAGCATTGGRGGCGTAAAAACAGCTGGTACTACTGCTGCTGTAGTCACTAGCTACCGATGTTGAACTTTCTACCACGCCGGTGGATGCAGCGCCGAAAAACCCACTTCCATAGCTACCCACTCCGTTCATCATGCCCACACCTCCCTCGCCATTGAAGTGCTGCACGTTACTCCCATTTCCAATGTCATTACTACTATTGTTATGACTGTTGTAATTCAGTAAGCTGCTGCTGCTGCTGCTGCTGCTCGTACTACTGCCTGTATGGCTGTGACTAACGTCCACATTACTGTCTCTATGCGTATCATAATCATTGTTGGTGCTGCTACTCCTATTGAATGCAGCAGTGCTATGGWTGTTGTGGTGATTGTGGTGATTGTTGCTGACAGCAGCTGCTGCAGCAGCGGCGGCGGCGGCTGCGGCAGCGGATGATCAAGTCGTTGTCAATTGGCGCCACATTGTGTGTCACATCGATGGTAAGTAAGGCCAGGAGAAACTGTTGCCGGACAGCAGCATGTCCCGTATGAGGGTTTCTATTGGGGTTTTACCGACTAGACGTACAAAAAATAATTGCTCGATGACCTAATGAGAGGGATGAAATAAACAGAGAGATGGAATCAAGCGAATATTTCATCTATCATCAGAGATGATCAAAMAAACTTTAAAGTAGAGTATATATTATTTATTATATTTTGTTCCTCTGACTCGAAGATATTTTGAAACAAAAAAGAGGTAGTTCGGATGTAACCGATCATTTTATACTCTTGCAACTTGCAATGATCAAAGCCGCCTAAGAAAGAGTTCAACGTTCACTATTCGACGAAAATGTGAATAGATCGCAACCAAATTTGGTATCATATTAACTTATTTAGCTGTGTCACTATATTTATATACCGAAGGGGCTAAATTTATTGTACCGAGTTTATGTCGAACCAAAGGCTCAGAACTCCTTGTATTAGAAATATGAGGTTTAGAAAAATACCAGTTTCGTTTATATTCGGCGCCAAACCACTAATATAATTTTGTAAGTTTTAAGAAAACATGTGAACTTAATTTCACTAAAATATCGCAGATTTTGGGGACGGAAATGGAAGGGCTGTATTAATTTTTCAAGCAGTTTTATAAAGATACCATATAGTGACTTGTTGGAATAAAATATAATAAAGTCATTGTATGTTGTATATGAGAGTTGGGGACATTCGTAGACTAAGTACACATGTTTCTGCATTAAATTATAGTTTAATATATATTAATATACTATATATATATATATAATTTGGAAAATGGGTTTATTGTGAGTTCATTTAAGATATTATATGGAAGATTGGGGTCTCTGAATTTCATTAAGAAACCTCACAAAAATTCGCCCGTATTTCAGCTCGTTTTGGCATTTTAAAAATACATATAACTCTATATATATCTTCATTAATTTTAGGCGACACAATACTGTTATATTCTGTAGCCACATGTTGCGAGAGTATAAAAATTCTTAATAGGGATATATTATTTTTAGTTTCATTAAAGAAAATAGGAGCGAAGGCGGAAATTAGGGACTTTTTATAAAAAAAACCATTAAAATTTGACTAACCTGGGATGAAACGGTGCGCAGGGAGGGCAATCTTAAAAGTAACTTTCCAAATCGTGTTGGCTGACTGGGGTACTGTGTACGACAGTATTCCTCTAGGGCACACTGCGACTTCTCCTGCAGTGATTCGATATGTGTGACGTCAGATAGACCACATGCATCTAAAAAAGGTAAAAAGCAAAGAATAAATGATAGATGWTTGCCAGCATAAATAAAGTAAGCACTAATTTATAAATTTTAGTCTGTCAGAGAAATATGCATATAAATGCATGTGTATGTAAATTGCGAAAAAAACTCAGCACCGAAATATGTATATAACAGTTTAAGTTCTATCTATTTATATTTGAAGCAATTCGCTTTAATCTCTGACAGACTCTGAAAATCTACATATGTATCAGTCTAATATCATAGAAGTTTAAATAGTTCGTACTTAGTCATTTTAATACTCAGATGCGCCACACTATCCATTGCGAAAACTGTTTAACCACTCGTAGATTCTTTGCTACATACATATATACACATGTAAACTGAGCATGAACATCGTTTTCAAGAAACAACAATATTAACCTAAAACTCTCGAAATAAAAGCTAAATTTATTGTAATAAATTTATGGAAAAACAGCAACAACAACAACAACTCACTGATCGCTCGCCAAACATTCCTAAAGATAATAGCTCAACCTTCAGTTGCTGCAGCAAAACTCGAATGGCAGCGAAAAACACATAACATAACATATACATATGTATGTATGTACAAACATGTATGCTTGCTTTTGAACATTGACTGCCGCGCCGTCGGTAATTGACATAGTCAGTAATCAACAACAATCAACATACAGCACTCAACATTTAACAAGTATTTAATTAATGCTTTTTGTTTTAAATTTTTTTTCGTTTTTTGTCTTTATATTTCTAATGGAATTTCGCTTCATCTCGCAACATGGTTCGCCTATCAATTGACTGCGAGCCTCAGCTCTCGTTAGTGTCTGTGTATAAATTGCCCCTGAGTGGACAACTTGTATCAAGTTGTAGCCATTAACAAAGCCAAGTGCAGACACATGAAGGCATTACACACTTATATTTCGCCACAGAAAAGCAGTATCTTCCAWATTATCTAATAAGCTGAACTAAGACTATCTGCACTTGTGAGACTGCCAAGCGGCGTAAAGTCTGATGCGTATACGCCTCGTTGGCCACCTTTCCCGATAGGGTGCACTAGTCCAAGCAGATGTATGAACGTTTGTTCCTTAGTGAAGACTATTCTTAAAAGTGAGCGTTGCACGCCGGTCACCAAAGTAGTTTGTTACGCAAATTTAAATTAAATTAAAGTTTTTAAGGTTTTATATAAATGAAGTCTGATATTTAGTTTTACATTTCTTAAACAGAATTTCGTGGAAGTCTTTATATGCCACTCACCAAGTAGAAAGTGATGCTTATTTTGTATTACTTTGTCTTTGATTTCAGGTTTCTGAAAAAAAGTGTGACAAAATGTGTTAGATGAATTGAAACCCAAGTTAAGCTTTATTCTTGCCTAAGCTAATTCTCAGCCTTTTTTATTGATTCTATTTTAATGAATGAGCAAGTTTCTTTAGCAATAATTATTGTTAAATGTTCCTGCTCTTTGCAATATACTACAAATATATATATTTCTCAGCAAACTAGTACTTTTGCTAAATTCGTCAACAGTATTCACATTCCAAACATTTTTTTTGGAAAATTACGACAACAACTTGTCGCCAGCGGCGTCAAACATTTAACGTTTAATTGCAAATTAACCACGAACATAGCCTTCGGAGTATCAATAATCAAATCACTTCACATAAAATAATTGTCAATTGACTTTCTAYTAACTATGGCAGCAACATGCTCCTTAGGCTCCTAATGCTAGCTCTTTGTAACGACAATTTCTTATGGTGCTCGAAGACGCCTTGTGGACTGTCTGGTCGTTGGACGGCGCGGTCAAGCGACCAATAGGCCCAAGTCAGCTGTAAATTCATAAAAATTACATTCAGCTCTTCCACAGAGGCTTGGAGAAAATAAACTAGCTTTAAGCAGCTAACAAAAATCAGACACTAAAAAACCGATAGTAACAAAAACAACAACAAAAAACTTGTACGAACTTGTAAAAAAGAATGCATTCACAGTCACGACAAAAATTTGACAATAACCAGCAATAAGGTACCGTACTAACATGCACTTACAACATAGGCATATATGTATATACTTTAGTTATATAATATATAATATATGTATGCGGATAGACATCCTAGAAGTGCAATTGCTGAGTTGGGGATAATGGTATTACTTCATTGGTAAGTGTATATATAGTTATATATTTTATTAATTAAATCAGGATATATCATTAACACGCATACCCAGATACAGACTCAATCAGTTCAGAAGGAACCTTCGTACTACGCARAAAAGTAGTTTTCTGGAACAACTTCATCGAATAATTTCATTTTTGAAATTTTCCATTGAACGCATTCTTTTAAAACTGTCCCGCACATTTGAAAATCGTCCAGTGCCCATTCAGAAACCTTGCTTAGATATCCTCTCAACGATACTAGAAATCACAAATCAGCCGAAGTAAATGTGATTACCCACTTTGCCGGTATTCGGTAATGTTAGCATAATATTGGTGTTGTTTGTGTTATTTCTGGAAAAGTCTTGTGAACAGTTTTCAAAGTAAAAGCTCGAATATGTACATTTGTATTTTAGTAGTGCATGAAATAGTAAGCAGTGAGTGCACGAGGGCAATGGCGAGGCTAAGTATATCCAATAGTGGTGCGGAAAGTTKAAGGAGTCTCTAACTCAAAAGATCGTGACCGCATGTCTTAAATGCATAATGACCGTAAAGTAGTTTCTGCAGCAGCCGCAGCGACAGCAGCAGCAGCAACAGCTATCAACGACGGCCACAGGAAAAACAGCAGCAATGAAGAGTCGCTAGAATCGTTAGTGTTTAGTGAACGCTCCAAACTARGCAAAAGTAAATTCCTCGGCGTGAAAGAAAGAAAAGTCAGCTAAAGCATTTCAACCTTAAATGATTTGGCCCGAAAAAGCCAGACTTGGTGTTGCACGCGGACGAGATTTGACAGACACAGACAGACTGGCAATCGAGGGCAGTGTGTGTACGAGCTAGCTGAGCTGGGGCAGTGATTTGGATTAAAGTATGGGAGCCTCCGTAAACATTGCATATGGACTCATGTACTTATCCATAAGTATATATGTATTTACAGCTGGCGGAGATGAGGTTCAAGACAAACGAGCAACCGCCAGTTATTTACTTATTGAACATTTACTGATTTCAACATTCTGGCATAATTTTGGCATTGTTGGCATATTGTCTTTATCTAAACCATCTAGTTAACTATTCTTTATTGCTTTGTTGAAAATCTCAATAACTTGATTATATACTAATTTATGCGACGTTGTTGGGCTGGTCTGTTAGTTTTGGGAGATAAATGAAAATATAATATAAGTTTTAATGCTGACACTTTGAGGGGATGCCCTTGCTTTATGGCTTGTAGCATCGAATGGTGAGTTTTGCGAGTACGTGGGAAATACGAGGCATTTTTTGTGGAAGATATGATTTTATTAGTTTAATAGCTAAGATGCTATAAAGTCCCGAAACTATTTATAAGATATTCAGCAACATTTGTATGTGTATAGCATTATAACCTCCATGACATACGAAAAGATGAAACAAGTGAACACGACAACAACCAACAAAGAACTTTGCCGATCGATTGGCATGCGCCGTGTTTACTTGTACAATAAATCGGTACTCAACTGGCTATTGASTGAACATCACGGGATACAATGTAGAAAATCAGTTAACAAAATATCCACCAGCCGGTCAATGCCACGTTTCAATAGCCAGCCAAGCAGTCAGACTAGATCGATTCAGCCTAAGTGTGACCAACACATACAAGATATACATACATACGAGTGAATACTAAACAATCGTAATCGAAAATAAAGCCAAGTGGAATCAAAATGTAATGAAACGCTGGTGCTTTAGCTACTAAAGAAACGTAACAAGGAATGGGGATGAAGTCAAATGCTTGGTGGAGAAGCGTTGAGGTGCTCACTTAGTAGGAGAAGCGCAGACACCATTGCCACAACGACAACAGAAGTACATTACGATTGTAAACGCGACAGCGTGCATTCCCGGCAATCTAACCAAGCAAATAGACAGTTGACGGCGCCGATCGTGTCTCCCACAACCCAGAAATGTTTGGTGACCGGCAGAGAAAGCACCACGAGAGATTTAGCAGTGSCAGATGTGCAGCATGCTGGCGTTGTCGAAGAAAAATACAAAAATGTTTTAAGCGAAGTCGTACGATATACGACACAAATGTGTGTCCAAGAATGACTGATCGGCTGAAGTTTATGGACAGCAATTCAAATACAATTGTAATTTTTGTCCCAGTCACTTCAGCTGATRATCGACCGTGTCTAGTCAGTTTTTCGCAACTTTTCGGTACCTGTATTGGCTCACTTCTGCAACATCAACATTCTGCAGCCGCGGCAGACCATATCACATAACTGGTACAATTCCGAAATTACTTTCAATGGCTCTAACAGCGATTCTCCGTTTACATTTTCTTCGCAAATTTAGCTGCTCCTTAACCAGACTGTGTGGAAGTYATGTTTTTGACAGTATGCTTTATCACGCTGTCGCCGGTGCGATACTCTTGGTATTACTACCGATTAGTGAGAGGACCCATTGTGCTTGTAAATAAGCGACGTTAAAGTGTGTTGTATTAATGTTCATAAAGTGGTATCTTGACGTCAATAAACATCGCTCGGCCAACAGGCAACCAGCCGCAAGGCTTCCTCTGCGGATTAGTCTGCGGCGCATGTTACTAAGAATCACAAAAAGAAAGGGCCTATAGCTATAAATTCCTTGCGTTCGCTATGCGCATTTGGTTAAATCGCCAAGTAGATAGGTAAACCTAGTACTTCCTTGTTAATTAAGGTAGCTGTAAAGTGCCGTGTGGGTTCCTCTTCTATGAAACTGAAGCTTATTAATTTTTACCTTCCAAAATGAATGGATGCACTAACTGACGACCTTCTCTCTTTCAATTCAGAGTGAGATTATGTAAGAATAAGTTTACTGAGCATAGTCATACATACTTTTAAATAAGAAAATTAATACCTAATACTTATGCATACCTTAGATAATAAAAATAAGAATTCTAATCATTCCATGAAAACGTATGTATATGTAGTATATGGTATATAGGATTTATTAAAAAATAAATAAAATTAAATGAATAAATATGGAAATGGTTACAAAATTTAGCAAATATAATATGCCTGAATGCTCCAACTGGCGTTTCCTCCCTCATATGGCCTTTAACTGATGCAGGTAATTTTGAAACTTAGTGATGTGCGACCTCAATGCATTTTATCCAGATATGTGTATTAGTTCAATGTGAGAGGTGTAGATACTTATATGAGTGTGAGTGCATGAGTGTTTGGAATGTAATAAACAAATTCTGATGCATGAAACGAAGAAAATATATTAGTTAAGAAATGAAAATACATATAATCAAGGCTGAAGGCAACTACAACAATACATTACTTGTAGGCTGGTACTTAACGGAATAACAAAGCTAATAATCGCTTCGGATATGCATTGCCTCGACCGAGGACATTCGCAATTGTATTCACGACAAATTAACGGCAAATAAAAGAAGAAAGAATAAAAAGGTATATACATAAATACATATCTTACTTATAGCAATTCTACTTTTATATATTTACTTGCTACTTTCGTTAATACTACTTTTCTGATAACTCGATCTACTTTTTACTACAAAAAATTGAGTTCAATTTAAATGTAGAAAGAACTCTTGTATCTACAACAGCCACAAAATACAACAGAAAGTACGAAAATGTCTACAAATAACAAATAGCATCTAAAGAAAGGATAAGATCCTTTTAGGTAGACATACATATGCAAAATTACCACTAAAAGCATATTCGAAAGAAGTATTTGAAAACCATACATTTTTCAAAGATGCTTTTGTTGCGGATTCTAATAATAATAATAATAGATTTAGTGTATCTGAGTCGAAACTCAATTTTACTTAGCCTGTTAACAAACATTGTTATTGTTTTTAAAACAAACTTTCCTTTGTTTCTTTGAATTGAATGATTTTAATCGATAAAAATTAAGAAAATTTCAAATTCAATAACCATTCCGGTAATTTCTGGGAAGAGTATCAAAGCTCAACCCGGAAATTGCGTGATTAGTTTTGTTCAGAAAGCGTGAACCAAAATATTAAATAAAAAGAACGTCGTTTTTGAAATTAAATTTTAAGCAACAAAATTGTATATTTTTACTATTCCTCTTCATCATCCACTTCTTTGTGTGCAAATTTTTAACCCAAATTACTACTAAAATAAATAAGACTTACATACCTACGTATTATACTAAGTAAATAAATTAGTTAGCACTTATTAATAAACTCGCTTAATCTTCGATTAAACATTTCGGGCACACTGGGACATACATACATAATCGTACATAATACTTATAAATATATAATATTTATATTTACTAATACATATATTTGTATATTAATAATATTACGTAAAATTAAATAAGGTGATTGCAACGTCTAACAAAATATACAACTAATCTCTTTAAACTACAGCGTTCTATGTCTAATTAAGAATCTAATAACAGCTCGTTACGAACGATCTGCTTCTATWCACTGACCGACCGAGTTCAACACTCGGCTGCGCTTCGCCGCGTTCACTTATCGTATATATGGTATGAGTATGACTAACACGTAATATGCTATGTGGACTAGACTAAACGCTATGTGATCCAAATTCTACGGCAGTTATAACAACTTTGATTTGCCTCAAATTTTGCAACTATTTTCTTAGTTCAAACTACAATTGCCACCTACTGCCAAAACTGTACGGCGAGTATCTATAACTGGGACTACCGAACGAAGCGCCACTACTCACACCGAATGGTGTGCTATGATGGAACATATCAAAAGCCGAACCGAAGGCAGAACGTGGCGGCGTCTGATAGAACATAGCCGCTGTGGCAGCTGCCGCTGCGGCTTGTTGTTGATCTTGTGCCGTCTGCGAATGGGTATGTGCATTGTATTGGTGTTGAGAAGAAGTYGGATGCGGCGATTGATATGTCCCACCATGATTACTAACTGCGGTACCAGGGGAGGCAGCGACAGTGGTTTGTATGGCGCTATTACTCAAAGGCGAAGCGGTTAGGTTATTTAGAAGGGACGAACCGATTTGCGATTGAGTATTGATAGAAGCGCCCAGACCACTGCTATTGTTGTGACTCGCATTCGAGGTAGATGTGGTTGAGTTGGTAGTGTTAGAATTCGTGGTGACTGGGGCCGCAGAGTTAGCACTGGCATATAAGGCAGCAAGTAAATCGTCAGTGCTGGTCAACTGACCCGAGGTTTTGTGACTTGGTGCACAAGAGCTGAAAGCACTTGTAGCTGAGTGTCCCAGACCGTTTGCCGAGCTTRTGGCGAGCTGCTGCGATGTAGGCTTCCGATCATCGTTTCCTTGATAATGATCAGTATTTCCAGCATTCTGATCTACTATTGATCTAGACGTCGCCGTAGACGGTGTGATAGCTGAATTTTCAGTAGCCAGGCATACATTTTGCGTGACCGCTTCAACACCAGCTACACTCTTCATAAATGCAGCCAGGTGAAAAGCGGCCGCCGAAGTGTGCTGTTGAGATTCTGTTTCTAGYCGATTGAGTTCTTCGAGATGATCGCGCACTACCAACAACACTTGTTCGTGCAACAGATCTGCATTGGAGCCTTTCGTCACCGACCCCGTAGACTTAATTGTCACTGAAGTATCTGAATGCTCGCTGTTGGTCGTGCTGGCGGCAGATGCCAAGGCACACACTTTAGCTGAAACTTTAGTAAGCAGCGCCGGAATATCCCGGTAAAGGATGTCCAACAACTTACCAGTGGTGAAGAGCACAATCGCTTTGAGACAGGAATATTCAGCCGAGTCGACGTGCAACGCCTTCAATTTTTCCACCTGTTCTTGGAAGATGCGTATATGGTCCATGAATGCCACCACGCGRTCCGCCGCCATCGGCGATGCGTGCAGACCTGCAGCAGCYAACAGTGGTGCCACGTGTAACGGCATTGAACATTGGCTCGCATTTAAGACGAATAGTTCGGACCAAACCAGACGTAACAGGGCCACTTGATCTGTCACTTGTAACTCAGGAAAAAACGGTATGTTCTTGGCCCACTCGACGGCAGAAAATAGTAAACGCGCGGCCAGTTCGCAGATATTGTCGATACCCATAATATTGTTCGGTTGCATGCATTGACCATATCGGGATGTTGGGTAGGGTTCTGCGCGCAGTAACAATGAAATATAGGAACTAAGATAGGAGTGACCATTGAATCCGGCAACAGACATAGGATCRCCATTCGCTAGCTGGTATTGACCATGCATTCCGGCTAAGCCGGGCTGAGTGGGAGGCACACGACCGCGCTGAACAGCTGCAAAGAAAGAAATGGAAAGTAGAAATATAAACATTAGTATGAGCACAGAAGTATGAGGGGCTAAGAGTAAGACAGTGCAATAGGTTATCCATGCCTGTGGCACAGCTGGTAACTTAATACCTTATTTAAATATCTAATTTTCAAATTTTCAAATACGAACAATTACAACAAGACTATTATTTTGACCACGACATCACACGCCGAACAATGCGGCTGCCAGATAACGCCGTAGATACGCATTCAGAGTGTGGCATGTTTTCAGGCGCGGTCACATGTACAAAGGACGCGACGACGACGACAAAACTCAGACCTTCACAATGCAAAAAACCCCTAAACTATCAGCCAAAACAAAAGGATATCAGCAACCTCAATCTGGGCGCATTGTAATGAGAAGCTTCTACAAGAACACATAGCGGTACATGAGATGAAGCAAGGTAAATAATACGCTTTCAAAGATTAAGCAAGAAACAGAGCATAGCACAAACAGGCGAAGAGCAAACATTGCAACCCCTTGGCAAGGATAGTGGCGAGCCACTGAATATACTAAGATACTTTTACGCATAGACGAGCGTTGCGTCATTAAGCAAGATACTTTTTGAGCATTGAAAATGCAAAATACGTTACACCCGTTGCTTGAATAGAGCACACATAGAGACGTGGAGAAGAGGTCAAGAAACAACCCCCTGCCGCTTTTGCTCAAACAATACGCCGGCAGCTAAATTTTCGTCTAAGTGTTAATATGTATTTACTCGTATATTGTAAAATATATTTTCAACAAATCTACAACACAAATTTGCATTGCTATTTTGAGTGCTGAGTGAATTTACTTTTAATTAAAATGCACAATTTACAAACCATAATATGCACTCATTCACACAAACGCTGTCGTCGTTGCATGTATCTGCATATACATATTTATGCTTACACACGAGGAATATTCTTACTATGAGGTATCTTATTTATTGTGAGCACCGATGTGGCGAGAAAACGCAAGAAATCATTTGCATTATGTGAAGCTTTCGTGAAATAATTTTACAAAAAAAATATTAACATACATATSTATGTCCGTATATGTGTGATACAGCGTATGTATGTATGCCTGATAAGGCTTGGTGGAGAAGCGTTTGTACCTCTCGTTTAGTATTATCATAAACTTTTGACAGATAGCAGAGGAACTCTTACGACTAAGCAAGTACTTCCTCATGCTCGTCGGTTTAATTGCAACAATTACATTTAGTAAGTCGATCCAATCAGGGAAGGATTCAAGAAGTAATATATGGTACTTAATACGCCGATTTTTTGTTTTTTTTTTTTTTTTTGTTTCTCGAGTGTCCCCTTATTTTTTATTCTGCTTGGTCTGTCCAACATCATAAGATCTCTAAAGAGTGTAAATTCAAATTCCTTTTGTCATATGGGGAAGCCCGTTTCGGTGTTTTCCTGACGAATTGTATTTTAGGAGTTATTTTTAGTTGTGGACTTACTAGCTTTTTTTTAAATAGAGATCACTGAAATGTTTTCTCCAAATTGCAACGGCAAGTAAAGCGCGACTTTTTAATAAGCAAAGAGCATTTGCCCAGTTAGCTGGGAAGYGCTTCATCCTAAATACATATGTACATATGTAGTGCTACGTGCGCACCCACAAGGAAGCTGAAATGATATGCAAGCTTTATCATTTGTGGAAATCTGCTAAAAATGGATATGAATGCGGGGCAAATAAATAAAGTGGAGAACAATAGAGCCCGAGGTGTTGGAGTGTGCATTAGGATATTGAAAGCAAATGGTAAACACTCCTGTAGTGGACGAAATGGAATTCTTATAATTTCCAAGCTTTAATACTTATATTTATTCAATTACTTCTTTATATTTCATCGCGAACGATACTTATGAAAGGAGCGGGGGGACTCTGTGGCCGGCAGTGTATTCTATGCACTTTTCATAGTCTGCGCATTTTTCATTCTCTCCATTAAGCAAATTTTTAAATATTGTAATGATTGTAGAACTTACCTTCGCGATGGTCAGGCGCTGGTCATTCTTGGGCCCTTGGTGTCTTTCTCTTTTTATTTATGGCAATTAAAAACTGTATATGCAAATTTGTGCGCAACTAAGGGTGGATGAAGCGGGTTTGACAAGTTTTTAAGGATAGAATTTGCTTTGAGGACAAACAGTTCCTTAGGAAGGTAACTAAGTGAAATAAATTTTCTTTATAAATATTTTGTTTTGGTCAGCGTATTCTCCCTTTTARCTATTTCTTTTCCCTTTCCCTTTTTCCTATTGCTTTAGATCACTCTCTCTTTAGTGAAAACGGGAAATATACAGGCCGATAATTAAATCGACAAAGCATTTGTGTAATTGTGTTTTGATTTAAGTTCCTCTTTCCATTACTTCATTGTCGCTTGCATGGCTTGGCTTCTTGGACTGGGTGAGTGAACCAGCCGTTCAGCTGTTGTGTCGTCCACTAGTACCCAGTGACAAACTCAGGTAGATTTGTGCGAACTGGACATCTAAACGGGTTTTTGAGCGAACACAAAAACCCAGAGACGTTCTAATACATTTTGACCGGTTGACCACCGCGCTTCTATCAATTGTCTGTCCACCCGGACACTAAGTTATAAATGAGCCTGGGAAAGTATAGTCCGGTTGCCTTTTTGGCACCTTTCTGGCCTTTGTACGTTTTTGTCGCCGCTCTTTGTAACCATAACCACAATCATTTGATCCTCACGCTGCGAGTCATTCTGAAGCGGTGCAAGTATTTAAGCTGATGCTGTGTGGTTTATGCACTTATGCAAATGTGACAACACATTTGGCTGTCATATTTTGTCATATGTATATTCTTTCTGTGAAAATCAAAACGTTGCAAAAACAACAAACATTTCACGTCAAATGCAATTTACCCAACTCTCTCTTTCTTCTTGTGTGAATGTCAATTTTTAATTTTATTAGCTCCGCTCTGTATCAATTCTCTGTGATCAACGGTTTATTCCGACTAAAACATACTATGTTCAAACTTTATGTATTTTCTATATACTAATCTGAGTCATAGATGATATTTCTGGTGAAGAGGCCTGGCACATTGATAAAATTTACGTTGAATCAAATTTAATAATGCCGAAATAGTGGTGTTTAAAGCCGAGTTGTCTGTATTATGAAATTCTTTTGAAGTTTTAGGTTGTGCAACGCAAACTAGTTTTGCATGCAATGATTCACATATACATACATTTGTACCCCGCATCTGTGCATTTTCTGTACTGGTGCTGCGTTCAGGTACAAGTGTGTGTCTTCCGTTAGCAACAATTGCCGCAACAGTTTAATTGTGTTAACCTACCACCGTGGCAACTTTGACGCTGAACCTTAAACTTGTTGACCATTTCTTACACTGGGTTGTCAAGACTTGCCCTTTGCCCAGTTTTTTATCGCTTGTTATTTGTGCTGATTACGTATTTTCATATGTCTCTGTTTCGGGAGAAAACTAAACTTCTCGTTTTGAGCTTTTTATTTGCTCTCCTTCGGTTTGATAAAAGGGTGTTTTATGCTGAAAAATGTTGTCATTTAAAATTGCTGGAAAAGTTCTCACGATATTTCAGCGGCGATACGAATAACAGAGGACTACTGGATTCATGTTGAACCAGTTTTGCAATCATATATACTATCTACCGTATGTACATCCGAAAATGCGTGCATGTGTTGAAAGAAAAAACCGACACGAATTTTACAAATTTGAAATGAAAATGGTCAATCTTGTTGATGAGAAGCAGTTGAGTTGTAGTTCGGTAAGGGGTGTGCGGGGCAATAGGAAGGTGTTGAACTCTTTTCCTAAACACTGTTGACATTCGACCGTTTCGGATGTCAGTGTTAAATGTGGTCTTCGCTGCAAAGTTTACATGACACCCTAACAACAACAACGTCAGCAAACGAAAATTGCGAATGACAATAACGAGTCGAGCAGTTGGCAGTAAAATGTCATTAATGCGGTTTATACGACCACTTAAGTGGTAATATTTCGCTGCCAGTACACTAAACTGTACACACACATAAATGCGTTGTTAACAAACGATCACCAATGCTAGCTCTAAAGCGCCTAATTGCACTTGTCCTAACAGCATAGACCGACTAAATACCTGGGCATGTGTTATGTTTATATGAATTATTTTTAATAACATTTACTGCCGCTCAATTACAACCTCAACTGACTGCTTTGCGGTTCGCTTTGCGTTTACATTCTTGTCGTTTGAAGCTGCGCTTGCGTTCCCCACATATTACAATCGATCTTAACCCAAATCGATTCATGTAATCAACAAATACACACATCTATTAATTATTGCCTATGAARCGGGTATTTTAAGTGTTACACCAAACAGCTTTGGCCGCAGCTGAAATTACTCGAGTATTCATTTTCGAAGGATTTCTAGAAATCTAAAATTTACTCAAATTATTGCCATTTCAACACACACTGAACGAATTACATTTGTATAATCTACGCAGCAAATGATGGATTTTTCCACCAAATAAGTGATAAGGCAATATATCAGAAAAATAATCTTCAAGAATTTGAAAGTGCAAATTATTAAGAATTGTTGAGTTTTCCCTTGCTCTTTTGTTCTTAAAATTTTAGTTTAGCATCTAAATAAATTCCTCTCTAATTTTCTTGCAGTGTATTGCATCGACAGATATAGTGATATGTAATGACAGCCGGATAATTACTATGGGTCGCAGTCGCAGCCACAGCAAAACTTATTGCAATTAGTACTCGCTATAAACACAAAATCACTATGGCGATGTAATCTGGTCAAAATCAACAACTTTACTAGCAAATACAATAGCCTGAGCAGATTTAGCTCAAATCGGTACTTATTTTGAGGAAACCAACAAAAATGCATAACTCTTACGCATRTTTTCAAATGTTAATATTAACGACAAATAAGAAATTAAGAAAAACTGAAATGAAAATGAACAAATTGTGAATCAAAATGTCATAAAAAGACCCCAAGTTGATTTTKAATTGTAAATAATTAAGCAGCAACAGCATGTCAGCAGAATTAAAACTGCACATACGCATTTATATATACATATATAAGTAATATATAAATGTACACGCATATTTTCCGTAATTCATGCTTTTAAGCTTATACATATTGATGAATGTTTACTGTTGGACCTGAAACAAGTTGTTCGACTGTCAAAAATGACAACTCAATTATGGAACTATGCCATTAGWTTCCACAAAAGAAAATTAAGTGATTTGCATCTTTCACGCAACTAAATGCCAACAATCGCTTAAAACAAACCTTTTAACATATCGACTTGAATATCGACTTTGAATTACATTTATCGATATCTTTGTATTTTTTAATGTTTATTTTTGTATATTTGGCTATCGACGTAGTGATTAAGTATTTCAATTTGCTTTAAATATCTCTAAGAWATTGTACAAGTATGTAAATTGCATTATACTTAATCTTAAAACTGCAAATTGCCTTAAGAATCATTGCGTCTACGTAAAGGCCCAAGAGTGATCTTTCCGTTCAAAGCATTTTTTTTTTGGTAATCTTAGCTAGCAACCGGTTGCTTCTATATATATATACATATGTATATAATTTATATTTAGCTTAGGTTATTTGAAGATCAGACCTTTTGCTCGGGTGCAAACAACTATACCAATAGACCTAACGAGAGCCAAATGTCGATTTTCTCTGGTGGCTAATGCTAGTGATAAGTTGCAAGAATTTTCTTTGCAAAATCATTGTCGTAAACATTAGCTATATATATATATATACATATGTCTGTACTTCCGTTTTGAATCTGTTCTATACTTATTGCTCTCAACACTTTCTACTCGACGCTCCAATAGAATGATATTCTTCGATTGCTTTCAGTTTATTTATTCTCAAATAAACTCACATTAGCACAAAACACGCACATACATCCATTATATACGAACGTATGTCCGCTTACTCAGCSTGTATATTTGACTTTTAATTGACCCTTTTTATTAGAATGTTGTTGATATACTCTTTGTTTTTGGTGTTTTCACAATTTTCTTCGCTTGATGAGCGATTGTTTTGTTGCAATTTTCACATTCCACACACACATACACAGAATTAGTTAGCATTTATTTATTGCTTTCAATTTCAAATTGTAGCTTTAGGAAATAAGTGAATCAARTGTAAGCACACGGTGCCTGAGATTTTCGCTTACCTTCGCGTCGCATTCCCATTTTCAGGCACTTTCTTAAACGGCAATATTGACATTGGTTTCGATGATGTTGGTCGATCGGGCAATTTCTGCTCCCCCGACACGAGTACGTTAAGTTGCGGCGCACCGAGCGCTTGAAGAACGATTTGCAACCTAAAATAGGAAAGAATGAAATCTTCTTAAAAACTCTGGAAATCAATATTTGGAAAGCTTAAATTATTAGAAAGTTCGTAAAAACGTAAAACAAATATTTCCGAATTGTCTGGGCTTCCGATTAGTTCTAAATATGTCTGATTGCAAGATGAAGTAAAAGGCGAGTGAGCCCAGTTATGTCAGACAATACAAGAGATTAAAAGTAATACTCCGAAGCAGTGCCTACCTGTTAACATGTGAAAATGGGGGAAAATGTCCTGAGCTTGCCTGTTTTTTAAGCTTTAAATGCGCACGTGAATTACATTTAGGTGAAGCCTTACAATTTTCGTTCCCAGTTGCATTAGACAGTACAAACAAGCGAACAAAACTGCAGAAAAACGTCGTGAAAAATGAGAAACTAAAGCCTTGCAATCCTTTCGAAGCCATTTTGCGACGAATTGCTCAACGATTCTAATATACATCTACTGTGAGTAAAATAAGCTGTAAAAACCAAAGGCGATTAAGCAAATGTAAGGGAAAAAGCTTCGGAAATCACAAGCGAGTGCGCAGACTTTTGTGGTTTCTTAGCAGCCATTTTCCAATTGGCAACGTGGTGTACAATCAGCCTGCKCAAACCTCCATCAATGCACCGTAGCGTAGAATCAAACCGTTTCTTGGCACTTTACCTATGGTGAGGGCGTCAATTCAATCAAAACCAAGTTTGGAATGCTGCCTAAAGATTCAATTGAATTAACATTTGGAGTTGAAGTGGATCGTTTTCATTTTAGAAATTCCTAACTATTGTTAGCAGAAACAGGAAAGAAATCTAATGTGCGGTTACTCACGCAGATAACAAATAGCATCATCTGCAAACATGTGCCTGCCTTGACCAAGGCTACAATACGATTCCATTAAGTCAGACGGTCAAAAATATTTTTGTACCTGCAGAGTCCTACTGAATAACACCAAAAACAACATCTATACTTTTCTGGTATCGTTTTTCGCGTTACATTTGTGTAAAGCAGAATAGAATATCCCCAGATCAAAGAGTCGAACTTGTTTGAATTGGTAATGGAGGCTTATCAAGAGGTGGAGGGCGACAATCGACCACCAGCAACCAGTTTCAATATTATATGCGGCAGTAAGTGGCAAACAGYRAGTACAGACAGCGGTAAAGGTTCAGCGAGTTGCTGAAAATCTGGGAAAATATGTTGCAAAACAATGACCAAGTGAACGGCCGATTGCGCGTGCGCACACCAAAAAAGCAGCATAGCGTGGGTAGATATGATACAATGAATGAAAACAAAGAAAAACGAAATCATAAAAAATTGCACAAGAAGATACCGCGGCTACGACGCATGAAGCAGGCGTAGCGGCAGCAGTAATTGGGCATCTCCGGTAAGCGCCGAATTATTAGCGACGAAATTAAAAGTCATAATCGCGCTGACCAGTCGAAACTTGACCAAACTAAAACAACAACCGCATACAAAAAGAGTACCAAAACAAAACAAGGAAACAAGTATTCAATTCAAATACGAAGAGCAGTTTACAAGTCGTCCATAACCATATCTTCATATCATGTTTTAGCATTTTCTGTGCTAGACAACCGACAGGCGCATTTGATGGTATTTCCAATTTGGGCATATTTTCCCGCATCTRGTATTATCATACATACGACTCTSAAAGTGTTGGATAAAAAACACTACATCACTACGATTTACGATTTGCTTTTCAAGAACCGCTTTATTAATTACATATTTAAGTATAGTGCGAAAATGAGTTGCCGAAAGACAAGTCTACGTAAATGTACACCACCACTCTGACCGCCTGTTTCTCAACTCCATTTTACTAGCATACGAGCATTCTTCCCTCTCTGCCATCCGAAGCATTCATAGGTCTTTATCATTATTTCAGGTTATTATACAGTGCGCACTGATCTCTGGCTGAAGTATCTCCATCTGTAGCTAGGTATCTTCATCAATAGGTATAAGCGATACTCCAGCACACTCTCACACGGACGCACAAGGCATCGCGTTGAGAGTAAGAAGAAGAGCTCCAGATGCTGCTGAGATATATTGGGCGCATATGGGCAGTGCTGCACGTAATGTGCAAGAAGTTCAGAAATAATCAAATGGATAAATAAAATAAATAGGATTTCAACACAACCAAACAGTCAAAGAGGAAAGTATCCTCAGCAAAGCTGTCCCGCTGCTCGCGTAGCTAAGAGAGTGTGCTTATTGCAAGGAAATAAAACAGGCGCAATGAAGCTATGGCTTGGAAAAAATCGTGACTCAAGAAATATCGTTGTTTTGCGATCGTATGGATCGTTTATTGTTTGTACGTGTGCATCAAACGCTAGGAGCCGCGTGCGCGTTCAAGCACCCCCACCTTCGCGGTGCTATATGAGCAATATGAGCTATGTACTTACATAGGAAGTAGTACGTAGTTAACAGCTGATGCCAACACAAACATCCTGACACATGCATATATGTACGTATCTAAGTTTGCTTGTTTACAAGGCGAAGAGGCATGCATATGTCGTTTGTAGGCCTTGCTTGCTTCAACCAGAAAATGGCGAACCCATATTGGAAATGCTAGCGGACGGTGGGCAATGAGCGGTTAGTAGGATAGGGCGAAACACGAGTATTTTGATGATGACTTTACAGCTTAAAAGGAATTTTATGAGCAGCCACCATTGTTTGAGACATTGTGAGAAATTTTTTAAGTTTATAGACGAGTGAGACAAGCTACATCTGTAAGTGTACAAACTATACATATTGGATAATTCGATTGCAATATACATATAGCGAATTGCACCCAAATTTCGGCCTGTCATCATATTACGTCTATATACCGGTTTGGCCCATTGACAGATAAGTTATTCCTTACCTACGATTTTTTCTAACGAAAGAAAACTTAGCTTGGACGAACTAGTCTAAAAAGAAAATATTATTTATTTCCATGCAGCATCAATTGAAGGACTGCAGATACACATGTTGAGATGTGTGGCGACATAAAATTACGATCACCTAAACATTGACTCTGCCGAGAAGGTGGAAAAGCAAAGAGAAAACTGTTTGTGGCCAGAGACCAGCCGGCATCAGCGGTTCCAACTGCTTGAGTGGCAAAACTATCTAAATGCGCTGTTGTTACATTTAACAGTAAATTCTTGTAGTAATTGTATCTACATTGATGCGCAGCCACTGTAGAAAAAAGCCAATCGTCCAACAACAACAGTCTTGGCAATGAGAGCCGTTTCAACATCCAGCGGCACTRGGTGAACGTATCTCTGATATGCATTTGGTTAATTGAATCCCATTAAAGGTAATTTTATGGGAGGCGTTAAGCCAAGAAACGTGTGCAACAAGTTCGACATTAACGTGACTCGAAGAAAATGTGCAAGTTTAGGACTAAAATTGTTTGGATATTTAGAGTTTTAACAGAATAAAGATATCTGAAATGAAATGATGCAATAAGCATCAGAAGAAGCGCATAAMAACGTATACGCCATATCCACAAGAACTAACGAAAAGCTTTAGCTCTGTGAGAGTTATAGCTTTCTTTGTTGCATTCAGTATCAGCATATACCTACAGCTGAACGGTAGCTCTTCCCTGAATTAGTTCATATGCAGGTAATTTGACCRCAATTAATGATAACCGCTTGGGTACTAAGCAAGTAGAGGTGGCCAGCAGTTGCCACTTATTTGCTGCATCAGCATCAACCRAAAGCCGAAACATGGCGCAAAGCAATAAAACTGTCACAATCACTCAAAGCAACAAATAAACTTGTCCAATTGTGGAGAGAATAGCAAGATCAACAAACAGATATATCATACAAGCTGCAGAAGGCCGAAAAAAGGATGTTAACAGAGTTCAGTTGAGATTTCCATATAATTTCGTTGTTTATGTAGTCGCGCCGCGAGCAATAACTACTACGGCAACGACAACAGAAACAATGTAGAAGCGACTCTGCGATGTCAACAGCTGATAGGAGGTCGTAGAGCGGTCATGCACCGGGATATCTGCAATGCGTTTCAAAGAAGTAAAATATCGGTGTTTAATGTGTTACTTTTGTTGTTGTTATTATGCTTTCAATTTACATATTAATCCTGCTGCTTGAATTTGTGTTACTTTTCTCTTTGGTTAGGTAGATGTGTGCCATATAGAAAACTGATATCTAATAATCAATTTTCAAAAAAAATTCTGAAGCTTGCAGAGACAATTTCGCGAAAGACAGGCTCAATCTCAAAATGTGTAACAATCAAGTAAGCAATATTGCCGATTGCGTAAATACAAGGTCACAATTGGCAACAACGCAACCGTTATTCTTCATCACCTCAATCCGACAATTAACGCATAAAGATTTTCTGTATCAAGTAATTGATCTTCGAGATACTCAATTGACTGCCTGCGCTCAAGGGAATGAGTTTGTATATTATTCGTGGAATCTTCGAAACTATGCTAGTAATTATGCATTGCAGGAGATTACTACGGGACTATTCTTCGGTGTTGTGGACTCACAATGCATGACCATGGTACCGTGATTCGGTAATGAAAGTGTATGCATTTTAGCACGAACATGCGCACATGCAATAACGCTGCAATGCTCCGTGGCACAAATGAAAGCATGAAAGTGCTTGCACAATAATAACAATTCCGAGCCCCTCAGCAAGCTTGTCAAAAATAGAATAGAAACTTGATAAGCCTAAATAAAAACACGAGCTACATTAGCAGAATAAACTTAGAAAGATCTTGGCAGGTTAAATGCTGTGACTATTAGTGCGACAGTTCATATTTCAAAAATGGAAAAAAGAAGGTTGTTGTTCTAGTTCGATATCGGTTAAGACGCAGTCTCCCTCGTGTAGCCGCCCTGTGATTCACCTTAGCGCCACTCTGTGTTTTGCTCAACGAGCTGCATGAACGCCAAAACAATTTGAAGCGGTTATTGTTTTCGAATTTAGCATTGCAAATAAAACTATTGCAAGGCAGCAACAAATAATAGAAAATTATTCAATACGAAT